GACGAATGCTAAAAACAATTGATGATTTAGACTTAAAAAGAAAAATTATAAAGGATATGGAAACACTAATTTAAAAATTTAAGATATGTTCAACCATACCAAAGAAAAAGAAATCTATAAACATATTTATTTTGTGAACATAGTTATATAATATCACAACGAAAATAAAAATCTTTTACCTATGATAATATTGGTAATTTTCAATATTATAAAAGGAAAAATTTATTAAATAAAAGTTTATACAGGTTAAAAAGACAATAATAATAGGCTTATGATTAAGATCCAATAGTGTTTAAGGTTTGACGAGTGTTGAACTCTATGAGAAAGAAACAAATGACATCAGTAGTATTCATTTATCAATTATGAATTTGTTATGTTATGTTTAATTAAATTATTTATAAATTATTTTAAAGGTTTTTAATGAATTTTTTTACATGAATTTGTTTTTTCTAATTTAACTCTATCATATATGAATTTTTTACGATTTTATCTCATAATTAATATATATTCATAATGCATAAGAATACTTTTTTTTCTTTCTTATTAAGAATTTGATTTGCGTTCCACTTATATATATTTTTTGGACGCATGAAATGAATTAGGATATGAGAATTAAGACATAAATTGATTTTGGGATTGTTTCACAAATAACCCAAAAATTGGGGTTAAATGCAAAACTAACCCACTTTTTTCCCTCCTCATATTTTGCCTCTTTCTCACAAACATATCCCTACCAACTTCACATATTCACGAAAATGCCATTATAATCAGATTTTTTTTTTGTTCTGAAATTAGCAAAAAAACACAATTAACCATAAAAAACCAACGAATTCACGAAAATACTATCTTCATCAATATTCTCAACCACCATGAACAACCAATTTGGAGCTCTAAATGCTTCTCCAACTGATTTTTGAGATCTAAATGCTAAATATTTGAAATCATAACCTCTTAATCTTTCATTTTCTCTCCAATTCATCCAAAAACTTCTCTAATTTTCATTTTCAAAATTCTTTCTCTCATAACCTCGTAATTTCTTGTGGTTTCTTGCATAACGGCGTGTGGCCTTTGTTGTTACATGTGAGATTCGAAGTTTAAGGTGGTCGACGAAACTTTAAACGAGCTTTGACGACGAAAAAGGTAAATCTACTCGATTTTAGTCTGTTTTCAGATCTGCTTCGCGAAAGTAGACTTCAAAAGACTTCTTTTGAAGTCTACTAGTCAATGGATAGGTTAGATTTGCAATTGACCATATTTGAAAATATCCAAAGTAGACTTCATCTGAAGTCTACGCGTTTCCCTTTGGAAACAAAAAAACCGTGTGTAGACTTCATATTTAACTGAGGTTAGTTTTGCATTTGACTAAAAATTTGACTTTTTAGTGCAGAGTTCACATGAAGTCTACGGCTAGTAGATTTCATATGAAGTCTACTTTGTCGAAAATTGGGGTCAGTTTTGCATTTGACTGAACTTTGACTTTTATAGTAGACTTCAAAATAAGTCTACTTTGAAAAAGGGGTTAGTTTTGTGGTTTGACTAAAATATGAAAAATTTGACCACTGATAAATATCTATGTAGACAGCAAAAGAAGTCTAGTTCAGTAGTAGACTTCTTTTGCAATCTACTATTTAATTAAATCGAGATTTTACAAGTCAGACGAAGTCTACAAAAAAAGTCTACTTTGAAAAACGATTTTCCGCGTATTTGTGTAGACTATAAAAGAAGTCTACTCCAATAAGTCAAACTAAGGTCAATTGCAAAACTAGCCTAAATGCTTTTGTAGACCGAAAACGAAGTCTACACTCAAAAAGTCAAAGTTTTGGTCAATTATAAAAGTAATCCAAATTGTTGTGTAGACTGCAAAAGAAAGTTTTGGTCAATTATAAAAGTAACCCAAATTGTTGTGTAGACTGCAAAAGAAGTTTACGTGAATATACCTTAATTGCAAAGCTAACCCGACAGGTCAGACGAAATCTACACTTGAAGTCTACATAATTTAGACTTCTTTTGTAATATAGATTTGCTATTTCACTAATAATTCATTTATAATTCATTCATAATGAATTTTGTGGTTTCTGTTTTTTCTAAATGCGTGTTAATTATGCCGTTTT